GCATTGTCCATAACATCGACAAAACAGCATATCCCCTACAAGCAGGAGCCAAGCGCTGCTGGATAGAAACACTGGAGCGGAGTCAGTGAACTGCTGGAACGGACTGCTAATATCGGAGCGCTGATATCGGACATTTTTTATGCAGTCCGATAAAATCCGATACTCGTTTTTTGGCTGATATCGGACCGATATCCGATATTGATATCGGATCGGGACACCCCTAATGTAATGAGATGAAATATCACTACTATCCTTTAACCCTCTGGGATTATTTTAATTGGCTTTAACGCTATATTGTGCAGAGCTCTCCTTTTAACAAAGAAAAGCTAACTGTGATTGTTCAAAGGATCAGCTGTGAAAGATTTGTTAACCACATCCCTAACAAAGTATATCTTGTGTTTGTTGTAACTGTTGGATTATTTTGTGGTTCGGGTTTTGAACCCGTTTTTTAGAAATTTCAAGCTAAAGAAATTATGATTGTAATTTGCAGCTTTTTATCTCTGGGTTTTACCAAGTGACTTATAGCCATTATAACTCATTAAAGTGTTCTAAAACTGTTTAAACTGAGAAACTGTACAGTACAACATGCTGTGGTGGCGACATCCTAAGAATTTTMTTGAAGAGGTTAGTTTAAAGCCATCTTTTGTCAGTGTGGTTTCTCTCTAGTTTTGTGCAAGCTAGTCTGAACATTATATTGAGTGCAAACTTGCAGCATGTATCAAAATGTGCACCAATGAGCTTGGAAATGTTTATTGTGTGTGTACTGCTTGTGAAAGATGTTCTTTCTTTCGTACATATTTACTAAATCTGCTACTGTAGCTGTATTACCGCTAACCTCAGACATGACTGCTGCTTAACTTTTCTGGACTGTTCTTTTGACAAACCGTGGTGGACCTTTGTCAAACACTCATATCATCTAAAGGTTCAAAGATGCAGTAAAGTGCATGAGCCTCAAAGGTAGACTTGTTGCATGTATAGGGTTTGGGGTGTAATCGGGTGTGTCGGATACTAAAGGCTACATTAGTTTAAGGTTCTGTAATTAGTTGTTGGTGTGGTCATAATGCTATTTAGGCTTACAAGCTGCTTTTTCTGAAAATGCTAGATGTGGCGTCTACGCTCACGTCGGCCTTTCAGACGGGCCTATTTTCATTAATAGTGCTATTACCAAAGCAGCACATCAGGGTTAGCCAAACAAAGCTGCTTCAGTTTATTTTGCTGCTATGCCAGCCTGTTTCATGTGTTCTTACACTCTAACCTCATTGTCACATATACCTCTGAACTTTTTTTGTCCAGTGTCAGATTTCACGTCAAGTTCTCTGTCTAGGGGAACTCGTCTGCTTCTGTAGGAGCTTCTGTTTGCTTAGGAACACTTATAAGCTGTTTGTTTCTGTAGGAACAACGACCAAGTGTAAATTTATAGCCATCAACAACTGTTTAGTTCTAATACTAATCAATACAAAATAAGCCATTTTTTGATGAATTTTGAATTTACAAGATTTGCTGCTTTTTTGAGATGTATCTTTGATGATTTGAGGGTAGTTTCTAGGCTGTTGTATTTTCACAGCTATTTTTGGTCACATTGGTGACATTTTAATCTTTTAAAACTGTGGGACCTACAAAAACACCTGAATGTTTCTGTTTATACAAGTGCATGGTTCATTTGTCTCCAGCAACTACTTAGTGCATTAATATTCCTACTCTGAGGAGTATTTTTCATGAATCACAAAGCCCTTTTCACACACAAGACTCATAACGACTGTCAGTTTTCGCACTTGTCATATCGGTGATATTTCATATACCATGTGTGCAATAGTTGTGTAATATGCATACAGTGGATGAAAAATTTTWAAAAATCATCGCACTTCACTTGTTGTAGATAGTTTTTGAACGTCTTTTAGAGAAGTAGTTTAAATTTGACCTGATAAACTAGTTAATGGTTCGTTTGAGCAAGGCTAAGCTCAACGTGGGAAATGACAGAAAAGAATGTCATTCATGTGACACCAACACTTTCTGCTGCCGTTAGTCATGAACATCAGTTCATGTGTGAAAAGGGCTGAAAGATCAAGTGTAAATGTGTTCAAAGATCTGTTGAAAAGTAGAAACACATTGTTTTATTTATTAAGCTAACATGCCTAGGCTTTGAGGTGTTTTTTTTTTTTTTTTTCGTTTTTTCTTAGGGGATAAACTGCTGGGATATCAGTTAAGCAGCTTAATATAAATCTTATATTTATGCATAAATCAGTTATTGCACTATAAGATTTTTTTTGTAAAACCCCGTTTTGTCTTGTTGATGCATAATTATTTATTAATTGTGAAACAYAATGGGCATTTTTTGTTTGTAGTGATTTTGGTTTTGTATTGATGCACTTTGATTCAGTGTATGTTGCTACATTTGCATGATCGCTTTTGAATAGCTTTTATTATTTAATGTCCAGAATTTACAATCCTGACTGTTGTGTCTAAGCATTTTCTTCCTCTAAGGTTATTAAAGTGGTTCTAGAAAAATAACTTGATCTTTGTAACAAAATAAAAAGAAATAAAGCTACAGAATGTAACGTTACCTTCAATGAGATACTAAGTGTAATTAAATACATTTAAGTCCTCATTCACTTTGGTTATATTTTAATGCTATCTCTTTATTACCCTATTATAATCTGTTGGCTGTTGAATATTGGGAGGTGTTCTTAAACTATTTGTTGGCAAAAGTGCTGTTGAACAAACAAACACTGTCATACGATGTGACAGTGCCTTTGTGCATTTCTACAATRGTTCCTCCTGCTTTCAGCAGAATGTCATTTGCCTTCAGCAGCTTCTCAATAAAACTGTTCTCTAATTTCTTCATTTACCTGTGCTGTTCTGGATTTTTATTAAAATGTGATACAAAATGTCTCTTCAAAATGATAGGTAATAAGACTATTCTGTGCTGCAAAGTATGTCTGCTGTAAAAAAGTTATTTATATGGGTCAAAATGATGATACTCGTGTTCTAAAAAAGTTTTTCTTTTAAGGGTAGTATCTCACAGGTTTGTGACCTTTAAGCAGGATTCAGCACACATTCAATTACCTACTAACATGAACATTATTTAGTTGAGAAAATGGCAAACAAAACAATGTGTCATGCAAAAGTGTCATGGATATTTTAAAATGATTTTTCAGTTATATTCCTGTTTGAATTTTATTTTTTATGAAGGGTGTCCTTTGGGAATTAAAATTCCAAAAGAAATGACATCACTGAGAAATGTGTATATTTATATTTTGCAGCTTTTTATATGGTGTAGGGTTGGGCAAAATCATTTCATGTGCAATTAATCATCAGTAAAACTGTCAGCAATTAATATTTGCTACTTTGCAGTTACTGCAATTAGTGCTATGTAATGACGTATTTTTGTGTGCATCTACACTATCACTATCAAGTGTGCATGTGAGCCCAATAGTCGAAGTTGGCATGGAGCACCTAACCCCTATGTACTTGTTTAATCACCTGAAACACCAGCGTAAACTGGAACACGAGGAAAGCCAGAAAATGTGGACCAAGGCTACAACGTCGGCCACATGCAAGTGCAGTTGTCATCTACTAATCATCATATTAATCATTATCTGCTATGCTACTTGTATTTGCAATACATTTTTGTCAATATTGCCCAACCCTTGTTGCTGACCAGACAGTTCCAAAAGGTTGAAATAAAGAAAAAATAAATAAATTTAAAAAATGCACATTCAAAATGTAGTAGTATTTAAAAAATAAATAATCTTTAATTGAGATTTTATCACATTTTAAAATGTTTTCTAATAATTGTTTCTTTAATCCCTTTATTTGGGTTTAGATAAAAAAGGCTATTTAGCTTAGTTAGCTAACTCTGTAACTGTGTGCGTAATTTATAAGAAAGCAATTTCAGGACTTCGAAATAAAAGATAAAGCAGGATTAATTTCAGATCAGACTATAAGAGACTATAAGAGACTAGTTTGTCCAAGACAATTTAAAGTGGTATGGTCAGAAGTCTGGGTAAACCTATATTAGTTGTTTGTTCTTTTAGTTTTTTAACCTAGGCTAAGTTTTGAGTATTCTTCTAAATCCAAATTTTGTATTTATATCTAGTTGCAGGCTGTCATCAATTCCAGAAGAACGAGGAGTGGGACAACAAGGGGCGAGGAGTTCTGCGTTGGATGCTGTTCTGCATTCTCTTTGTCCAGCTCACAGATCCTTGCTGTACCAGTTTTTTAAGCATGCTAGCCAGGAAAACATGTTCCTTAATCATAGATGTGCTGGTCAGAATGAATTTCACTGCTGTCATTGTGGTGTGGGCCCACAGGAAAGATCATCCAATTCAGTCCTTTCTATTGAATTGAATGAATCTCKAAGTATCAACGTGTGCTGCTCTTCAAGTGGTTGTGATCACAGCCATTGTAGTGTTGGGTACCATCCAGGGGACTCCAAGTCTAGCTGTTGCACCTACCACCATCCTTTTAAAGTCTGTAACAGTGAAGGTCAGAGAGGCTCAAGCTGTGGCTGCATGCAGATTTGCAGGGTGGAAGCTTATTCTGGTCCATGCTCCAAGAGATTACACTGCAGTTCCTGTCAGATCTGGGCAGCAGGCCACAGAAACAACACAGAGAGTTTATCTGCATCCACTCCTCTGCCCCATTCTTGTACATCCTCCCCCAAATACTGCTCATCTGTATTTTATAAGCACAGCACCCACTGTTGTTCCTTTGGTCAACCCCATGTCTGTCTGACACAAGCCAGGAATACAAAAGAAAAAGATTTCAAAGAGAGGGATTATTGTTGGACTGCCCCAAACAGGGAGCAGAGCCCCTCTCCTCCCCCTCTTTCCCCTATTCCCTCAGATGACTGTAAGAAAACCAGTGAAAAGCCACCTTCTCTCTTTCGCCTCAGACAGACCGAGGAAGCTGATCTAATGGTTAAAAACAGTCCTGCTAGTGTGAGTTGCATGGCTGCAGATCTGGATACAGCCGCAAAGATGGAGCTGCAGTGTAGGACTGCAGAAAGTAGCCGGGCAGAGCAGAACCCAAGCGGGACTTTACTCCAAGATGTTATGAATCGCTTCAGTCAGAAACTGGAGACTATCACACCTCTGGACAAGGACCCCACACTAGTTTCCACAGCTTACCTTGTTTCTGAGAAGGAACAGTCACAATTTCCATCAACCAGTCAGAGCCTACCGTTTAATGGTGATGCTCATATAACTGAAATCATTACCACCGTGCTTCACACAGGTAATGCTAGTGACTACAACCTTAAAGAGCTGTTTAACCGCCACGATAACAGAGAGCCCAAGTCACCCAATACACGTTCCCGACGGCGGAGGGAAATTCAAAATGCTTTAGCAWCACCTGCCGATGATGCTTCTTCAAGAAGGCATAACTTAGAAATAAAACGAAAGCTTGCTATGCTTGAGCCATCGTGCAACAGAAGCAAGGTGGGCCTAGCCAAGAGAGCAAGGGTGAAAAATGCAGCGGTTTCCATAACCACATCAGGCGCTTCCTCTGACCTAAATTTCATAAAAGATATGTCTAAAACTAAAACCGAAGAAGCAAAGGAGGAGGGAAAAAAGGGAGAAATATTCCAGGGGCAAAACAAGCCTGCTGTCTCTAATACTCAGCATCCATCTGAGCAGCAGAACAGGAATAAAACACCAGACCCACAAAGCGATCATGTAAAAACAGACGGGGTAGCGGTGGCTGTCAAACATGCCAAAAACAGTCCWAGTCCTTGCAAAGTGAATTGTAAGCATAGAAATGTGTCAAGTAATGAGAGTCATGAAGAAACCTCTTTAGTTCAAAGCAACACGAGCAATACACCAGAAAATGTGACACACAGTTCTGTTAGAGAAGTTGAAAAATGTCAGTCTGATGATTCTGGAGCACAAAGGAAATCTGCAAGAAAAATAGTCCTTCCACAGCGATTTAACTCTTTCATTACATGTTACATTTCTCCATTTAAAAATGCAGATGCTAATGATGCCCAACCTAAGTCAAGAAATGAAGCCCCCCTGTCTTCAAATGAGGACTCGGGGGAACTTATTTTTAAATCAACACAAAAAGAACCACCTGGACCATCACACACACAGTCAAAAGATCTGGGCCATGTTTTGGCTGAAACTTCAACTATGACAAAGGCAATTTTGGAAAAGCATAGTCACGAAAAAGAAACTGATGCTAGAAGACTAAGATCATCAACAAAAAAATTGCAGGTTTCAAACAATAACCAAAGCTCATTAGATGATAACAATATTGAGTCAGCCTGTGTTGATATTCCTCTTGTTCCCCAAGTCCAGTTCATAAGTCCAATTAAGCTCATGTTTGTAACACCAGTAAAAGACAAAGAAGGAGTTAAATACAGTCTCAAATCAGCCAGTAATGGTTCTACTTCACAAGCAGAACCTTTTGACCCTTGTGAAGAGTCTTCATGGTCAGGAACACCTCCGAGGCACAAAAGGCAGAACAAAGGGAGTGCAGCATTACCAGTAAAGTCAGTTCTCACACCTATCAACCCTTTAACCCCACGTACATCACCTGCTTCTTCACCGTCAAAGTTGGCATCGTCACCGACGTTGGCCTCTTCTCCGAAGCCGACCTCTTCTCCAAAGTCGGCATCTTTTCCAAAACCGACCTCTTCTCCAAAGTCTTCATCTTCACCCAGGTCAGTCACCTCATCACCTAAGATTAGAAGATCAGGTGATGGTACTCCACCTAAGCGTTTGTCTGAGCCAGAGTCTCAGCGATTATCAGGTGACTTGCCCTCTCTCTGTGAAACCACTCCTCCAAAAAGGGGTCCAGGCCGACCAAAGAAGCTGGGACCACAGCCGGAGCAAAGAGTGAAGAGGCCCATTGGTCGTCCACCTAAACAGAAAACTGTAGGAGCTGTTGTTGAGGCAAAACCACTGAATGAAAAAGAGTCTCTTTCATCTCATGAGGATAACGTTGTCAAGAACCTCAAAATAACTGTCTTGTATGGTCGTTCAAGGAGAAACATACGAATGGTGTCTGAGAGTTTTGACCAGCTGCAGAAAGGCCATGCTGTAAAAAATGAGAGGGACTTGGCCACTTTAATACATCGTTCTAACAGTAGCTCAGGTACCATTAAAACAGGCTCAGCAGAGTTGAATCTTATTAGTCTTGTTAAAGAGTGTGTCCCTCAATCRAACACCAACATCAAATATCAAAAGCGGGAACAATATGAACCCTTAAGGAAGCCAGGGAGGCCTGCAAAAATTAAAATCTCTGGGATCTCAGTCACTGTTGCTACAGTTTCACCTCGGCAGCGCAAAATTCAGATGAATAAAGATACTGCGCAGTCATCTGAAACACAAGCTGCAAAGAAAGCCCTCCTACCAGAATTCAAGTCTGCAACAGAGCCTTGCTCAATCAGCTGTCAGTTATCAAACAAAACTAATGAAACTGAGGTTTTAGAAACAACAAAAAATCCAGCTGAACTGGCAAGTCCACCTGTAGCAGTGCGGCACTCAATGAGGGAGAGAAAACCCTCGATACACTTCCTGCACGCCGTTGCGACCTCCACATCTAGATCGTACAGTTGCAGCAGTGCTCTGCTGCGCCGCTCTAAAAAACTTCTGCTGACCAAAGCAAGCAACGAAAGGAAACAGGAGGAGCAGCAGAGTGGTGCTGAAACTTCAAGGGAGAAAAGACAGGTCTGTGGGAAAGAAAGGGAAATCGTCGTCCGAGATCTGAGCAAAGTGGCACGGGTGTCATTAGATTCAATCTTTAGCCCAAAGGAGACGCTGCGCTGGTGGGCACCATCAGCAGAGGAAAAGACAATGAACCAGGAGCTTGCCAGGCGAATACGGGTCATCTCCAACACATGGGTCTCAGACTCTGTTGATAAACGAGACAAAGGACCAGCCTTTAACTCTAAACTAGACACTGAAGGGAACAACTCATTTACCAGGAAGTCGAAGAAATCTTCAGTGGTTCGTACGCTGTTCGACTGTTCGCCCAACAAACCGAGGTCGTGTAGCATGCGGCAGATCTGCTCCTGGTTCATGGAGACCACAGAGACACAGTCTCTGGCTATTGTAAAGAAGGCAAGCTCCCGAAATCCTTATGAACTTATGCACTTCCCCCGTTCCGCCAATAAAACTAGTGTTTGCCAGAGTCCTCAGGCAGAGCGGCTCCGCAAACACATCAAGAAGTTTGCCAAGACTGTTCCAAAGAGTCCTCTGCAGCATCAGCAGGCTCAGCGCCGACTGAGGAAGAAGAGAAGGGTTTGTAAGGTCAGACGGCAACTTTTTGTTTCTAGCTTTGCGGTGAGCAAACGCAGTCGAGGAGTCATGTGGTGGAGATGCACTTTGTCAAGTAAATTTTGGGCCACTCTGGGTAGAGCAAGAAAACGATTTCTGACCCAGAAAGAAAGGGAAAGATGGCAAAAGAAGCAGAGAAACAAGAAAAAAGTTAAAGTAAAAACATCTTTCTCAAATGAGCTCGTAGCAACTGGACTACAATCGAACCATAAAGCATCATACAGATCAGCAAAAGCTCTGTTCTCAGACTGTGCCAGGAATAGTCCTCCCTCCTCTTCTGGCAGCCAAACTCAGGAGCATGTAGATGTTCAACAGGGGCAGAAGCTCTCCTCCAAAGCCTGGAGTCCCGAGACTCTGAAGGAATGCCGCGTGTTTCTCAGGAAGATTAACTCTCCAGGCAACGAGTCAGCCGAGGAGTGGGACTCCTGTACTGTGACACTGGACGACGGCTCGCCTTCGGCGTACCTTTATGCAGGAAAGGAGAAGGAACTGGAAGGAGTTGTTAAAGCTGTGAGAAGTGAACAAAAAATGAGCATGAAGACGAGGGCTGCCTCAAGAGAACCAACGGGTTCTGGACCTAAATCAGCCCAGGAGCAGGATGTAGTTCCAGTGGGGAGGAAGAGGAGCAAACTCAAACATCCCGGGGTTGAGTTGCAACAACCACCAGCAAAACTGTTGAGACAATCGCGAATGCGGGGCCTGACGGGGCCGAGATGGTGCGACTTTGTGTTTGGTAAGAGCTTACTCTTATTTCTTTATGTTGAACACTTTAGCTTTGGATAAAGTTTCAAGATGGAAATTTTCTATTTTTTTCTTTACTCTYACAGAAAACTAAATGAAGCAAGAGGCTGCCTGCTGGAAATGGGACTGTGGTTTAACGTGGTGCCTTTGGACATTAAGCTGACCACCTGGACTGACCTTCTGACAAAGGTTTAGTTCATTCAGCACTCATGTAGCAGTCTAACTTAAAAGCTTGATGTTGCACTATTTTTACCCATATTGAACATGTTGTTTTTTTGTCATCTTGCCTTTGGAATGTGTATAGAACAATTTATTACATCGGAGTTTTGATGGGATTTTTATAAAGTGAGCCCTGTTCAAGTTGCTTTGGAGGGAAAGGAAAAGCTTGACTGCATTAAAAAGGTGTTTTCTCCCCTAGAAAACACCTCATTACGAAGGTTAAAGCAACTTCTAAATAACTTAAATTTTTTATTTTTTACTGTTTTAAGACACTCCTACTCCAAACCTTAACCTTTATTTATATAAAAAAGTCTTACCTTAACCCTCTTAATATTCTAATTAATCATTTGCTTTATGTTAAAGTTAAGGGTAAAATTAGTGTTAAACTTTCAAATCCGAGCCATTGTTTTGTTTTTTTTACAGTGTGTGTAAGCCATACAATGTATTAAAAAAAACAACCATTTGTTCTCACTGTCTGACATTACATCAGACTAAATAAACCTTGCTTCTTTCAGTTAAGTTAGGATTCCCCAAATTATTTCTTTTTGTAAATGCATGAATAATGCGAGTGTGAGAGTAAAACCCTTCAAGGAACAATTTGTTATTGAAGAATAAACCAGAGTTGTGGAGGTCAACAAGTCTCTCTTACTGACATCTTGGCTGATATCATTTATTTTACCGCACCCAAATACTGTCACAAAGAAGCACTGTGTTTGAGTTGTGCCTCTACTGAACTCTAATGTTGTCAACTAACAAATAGTTTTGGGAATCCTGATCTAAAAGAGGAAGTTTAGTTTGATTTAATGGCAGTGACACTTTCAATGAAGGAATTATTTAAATCTTCCCATCTATGATGACTTGTTTATGGCTCCAATCTGAGCACCATCTTCACCTACAGTGGTTTAACTTATACCAAAACTGAACAGTGCATTTTTTTTTACACCAAACTGCAAGTTCTTACCCCACAGAAACAGGGTTGTATGTTAAAATAATTCCATTATATCGCTTCAGAACATATTTTGTTTTACTGGTTTGAGGGGGTCTGTTTAACAGATGAGTGTCTCATTTTCACCCACAGCATTTACTGTTGCTTTTTTCACTGCCAGATGAACTTCTTGCACTAGTTTGAGATTATTAACCCCACTCTAGATTCCTCCTCTCATGTTTTGCACATCCCGTGTCCCGGTACCAACCCTCATCGTCTCTGGTGCAATACAAACCCAGATTATTTCTCGTTATGTCAAAGTGATTTTATTGTTGACAAATGGATGTACACAAGCACCAATGGCCTGGGATTTTACTTCACCTGTTTCGTTAGCAATGAGATATTAAGACCCTGTAGGCACAGGTGTGATCTTAGTTACGTCAGCTTTCAGTACGTTAAAAACTAATTCAATAAATGCTCTACTGCCTGTGTTCCCTCTCCTCAAAGAAGCTAAAAAACTAATTTTATCACAGCATTAAATTTATCCTGATTGCATTATTCAGTGGATACACAGGTGGGAGATGTTTTTCTTTTTTTAATAAGTTGCAGCACAAATGTTTACCCTCACTGGGGCTGCACTAACAGCTTGTTGGCTTCTCAGTTGTGTTAAAGATCAGAGTTGACTGAATAAACACTAATTTTAAATCAGTTCTTCTCCTGCCATAGGTGGGAATTCCAGGGGGATTCTGTGGGTCTAGACCTCTGAAATTTTTGAGAATGGATTTTAATTCTCCGAGTTACATTATAATTGGTCTATTCCCCCTGAATTTCAACTTTTAGACCTGACATGTTCTGGTTTTAGGTTAAAGCTGTTCTGAATAATTTCTAACTACCGTTTATTTATTCTTTTATGTTTGTTACAATTGTTGCCATGTTGTCTGAGGGAGAATATGAACCTCAGTCCTGTTTGATAAACTTGGTGCTCTGCTGATTTTTTTTTTTTTTTATTGTGGATTTTATACTGCCATTACAGAGGCAAARAAGTGTCTGTAACTGGATGAATAAAAAGTCTTTTCAACTAACCTGTGTGTAGTATTATTCAAACTTAACAAATTAAAGACCCAAGAAACATTTATTGAAATGCATATCACCCCTACTTTTAAWTAAGATACAGTATGTTGATATGGAGGAAGTATAGACATTTTGGTCAAACTATAACATATGAAAGACCCTGCTACTAATGTAAAATTTGAGCAAATAATCTGTGTAATGGATCTAATACTTTTATGTTTAAGCAAGTAATTCATGATATCCTTTAATGACCTAGGTTTTCATGACTTGCTGTTCATCTGCAGATAGAATGATTAAAGTCAGAACAAGATTTGCTAACAACAGTCATTCTTAGATATCACTTGTGTTTATCTTTGTGTTTTCCATTGACCTTGTATCAAATCATGCTAAGATGACATAATGGTGTTTGTTAATACATATATGGGGCCTCTCGAGACAGTGTTCAACAGTAGTGTGGAGAGACAGTGACAGAGAGAAGCAGAGGCACAGAGACAGGCCAGGTTCTCTGTTTCCTGTTGTTGCAATAAAACTCAGCTGATCATCCCACGGAGTACCTTCATTCTTGGACCARGTATTTCTGTCTTTATTAAATAAATATTGCCATAACATTCTGTAAAATGTACTAAATTATAGCCGTTTTTGTGTTGGCTACAGCTGTGGCAGCCATGTTGGCTTGGATGGGTTCCAAAACCTGATCAGGTGTAGATCTACATTCGAGGAAATTTGATCTTTTGCTAATTTTGTAAGTTTGCCCACTTACAAAGACATGAACAGTCTATAATTTTAAAGGTAGGTTAATTTTAACAGTAAGAGATAGAATATAAATAAATAAATCCAGAAAATTACATTGTAGAAATTAATTTGCATTTTGCAGAAAGAAATGAAGTATTTGATCCCTCTGGCAAACAAGACTTAAAACTTGGTGGACAAACCCTTGTTGGAGCACATGAGGTTTGCACGTCAGGAGGAGTTTTGGTCCACTCTTTGCAGATCATCTCAGTAYGATTTTGAGGCTGTCGCTTGACGACTTGGAGTTTCAGCTCCCTTCWTAGGTTTTTGATGGGATTAAGGTCTGGAGACTGGCTAGACCACTCCATGACCTTAAATGTTTTTGAGCCACTCTTGTTTTGGGTCATTGTCATGCTYGAAGACCCCTCCATGCTTATGTGGGGACAGTGTTCTTTGGGTCATAATCAGCATTTCTCGTCCTTTAAACACGAGTTGAGTTAACGCCAAAGAGCTCTGTTTGTCTCATCTGACCACAAAACCTCCCACAGAATCATCCAGGTGTTCATTGACAAACTTCAGATGYGCCTACACGTGCCTTCTGGAGCAGGGGGAGCTTGCAGGCACTGCAGGCTTTACCAATGGTTTTCTGGTGACTGTGGTCCCAGCTGCCTTGAGCTCATTAACAAGTTCCCCCGTGTAGTTCCAGYCTGACCACTCACCTTCCTCATGATCAAGGAAACCCCACGAGGTGAGATTTTGCATGAAGATCGATGTCAACTGACAGTCATTTTGTATTTCTTCCATTTTCTATTGCACCAACAGTTGCCTCCTCCTCACCCAGCATCTTCCTGATGGTTTTGTAGCTCATTCCAGCCTTGTGCAGGTCTACGATCTTGTCCCTGACATCCTCAGACAGCTCTTTGTTCTTGCTCATGTTTAGAGGTTAGAGTCTGACTGGTTAATTGAGTCTGTGGGCAGGAGTCTTTTATACAGGTGATTATTTAAAACAGCTGWCTTTAATGATAAATGGACTGAACTTTATTGCAGGTAACGAGTTGATTAGGAGCATCTGGTCTGTAGGAGACAGAACTCAATGTTTGGTTGGGGATCAAATACTTATTTCTCTCTGCAAAAGGCAAATAAATTTATATAATGTAATTTTCCAGATTAGTATTTTTATATTCCATTTATCACTGCAAAAATTAACCCACCCTTAAAATTATAATGTTCAAGTTGTGGGAAAAGGGATCAAATACATATTCCTCCACTGTACATGTTGGTCCTGTTCTTTAAACACGACCTTTATCTAAAACTTTACATAACCATACTAAAATGTTTTTTTTGCTCAACTTTTATAATGAAAGAACTAAAGTCATTTCCAAATATATTTCACTTTAATACTTAAAATATAACTTCAAATTGAAAAAAAAATACTAATAAGATGAGCTTTGTCAGAAATGTGTTTAAGTTACATTTACTGAGACAGTTCTGCAATAATTTTACATTTTAACTATCAGATTATAACTGTAATGAAAGGCAAAAATATTTTTTTCATTCACACAAACAACTTGTGTTTGTTTTTAGGACACATTGGCCTCCTGATTGATAAGTGGGTTGAGGTCCAGTTTTGTTTTCTCCAGCGCTGCAGTCTTGGCCCTCCGTGATGGACGCACCACAGGAACTGACTCAGGAACATTTTCTCCATCGCTGCAGCCGAAACAAAAGCCACGAGTTTATAGGTAAAATATCAGAATAACAAGGTTGAGTCCTGCATTAAAATGTCCTGGCTCACCTCTCCTCTGATGACTCTGTCCTCCTGCTGGGTTTTCTGCTGCTTCTGGCAGTGGAGCCTTTCCTCTGACCTGTGCAAACACACACAGACACACTCAGGCTACCTCCCAGTGCTGAGTCACCTTCATTCAGCCACCTGAGAAAAGCTCTAAAAATAAAACTCTGCTCTGAAAACCTGAACAAACAGAACATGTTACCTCTTTTAGCTCTTTTGACAGATTTGGATGGATCATCTGTTGCAACCTCTGGAAATAAAACAAAGTTCACGACTCAGCATTTAAAGATTAATTCTTACACAGACAAACCGAAATGGAGTAATAGTTTTTAAATTCACGTGGCAATTTTCTGTAAGAAAACCCACTTTTAAATGCAGAATTTACAAGCGTTGTGTGTAAATCCAAAAATAGGAGGGTAATGTGGGACACAGGTGCAGAGTAAGGACGTACCGTCTGCGTTGACATCCCGTGGCTGGAGAGCGCTCTCATTGAACAGCTCCGTCTGCTCCTTGGAGTCCGTCAGCTGATGCAACATCTTCTCCAGAGCACGAAGGCAAACACGATCTTTTACCACCTGAGAGAGATGAAAACAGGAGGCGTTAAAGTCAAACACTGCAGTCTTTTCTGTTCAGCTGATCATCGCTGTGGCCCAGCAATAAATCGCATTTATTAAACAGCCGTGAAAGCACTTATAGATTTATAAACCACAAAATTAATCTGGATGATTTAGGATTTTTCTTTTTAAAAACATTATTTTTGTTTTGAAATTGGGTGTATGGAACAAAGCGTCAAATTGTGTAGTAGAATCAGCACTTTAAGGACAAGTCATGTGTGTTTATTAAAATAAATGTGTATTTAACTCATGAGATCAAAGCACCTAACAGAGATACTTCACACTTTAGTTTTTCTCTCCAGTGTGTATGAACCTGGACCAGCTGCTGCAGCAGAGTCTGCAGGTCCTCCCTGATGGTCTCGTCCCTGCTGAGCTCCAGGTTGCCAAGAGTCTTAGTGTAAAGACGAACTTCAGGGGCAGTGGGGTCTTTGAGCATCTCTCCAAACATGCGCACTGCCAGGTAGTCATGAACACACCCCTCCTGAGGACACACACGCACAAACACCAACAATCAGTTTGAGCTGCATTACACATCAAATTCACATCTATCTGAGCTCAGGTCTCAGGAGGTGCTTCCTACCTCCGTGTTGGTCGGAGGTTTAAAAAGCGCGCTCGGCCGGGTGAGGTCAATAAACAGCTCGACAACGTTGTTGATATCCACCTCAGCCAGCGGAGAGGTAACCGGGGCGTTCAGCAGAGTTCGAATCGTTGGCAGGAAACTCTCCTCCACCACCTCCTGATGAGCTCTAACAAACAAACCGTACATTAGATCAGAAACATTTAGGTTATCTAAGAGCTGGAGACATTTCTCAGCGCGTGGCACCTGCTCTCGCGGGCGTACAGCTGGAAGAAGACACCGAGGCAGTGCCGCAGGAGGGTGTCGTCTTCGGTGACGGGGTTGTACCACAGCAGCACCAGGCGGGACAGCAGCTTGGCGCTGGAGATGCGACCCGTGTACATAAGTTTGGCCAGGCCCTCTGCCGTCTCAGTCCTCAGGTCAGACAGCTGACAACGTTTGACACAAAGATCGTTTAAAAAAAATTCTTGAATCAACAAGAGACACAGTGTTTGTGATCAGCCTCACCTCGCTGTCCAGGAACTCTGAAAGCATGGTGAGTATACTCTGRGCAGTGTCTTCTTGAACAGCCCCCTTCTCCTCAGCCGGTGCCATGTCGTTGTCCTGCTCGTCAGGTAATTGGGCCGGTTGGGTCGCCTGAGTGGACGCTTCGGAAAGCAGCTGGAAGCCAAACAGCAGCAGCAGATCGATGATGGCTCGCAGAGCACTGATGCGGATCTTCACCTCGTCCAGCTGGGCAATCTGAGAAACACATCCACAAATCCTAACATAGGTCTTTCCTTTTAAAAGGGATCCACTATTAGCTGTAACATTAGACTTTATTTGATAAACATTTATTTTAACTGTAAAATAAAGACTGTAAAAATACTGTAGACTGTTTAGTTTTGTAAATTTTTAAAAATATATTTTAACACGGATGGAGCCATTTTATTTACACACAAAGCATTCTGGGTAAATGATGACATGGATAGGTCATCAGTATGAGTGAGCTATATCCACTCTGAAGGTTAATCCTGGACAATATCTGACGATTGGCTCTTTTAAATGAAACCACAGAGCGTTGACAGAGAGGAGAAGGTAGAAATGACTCAGCCTGTAACTGAAAATATGGATGGAGGACAACAGAGCTGCTTCATGGAAGAAGAACCTCAGCTTAGCCTGTTAGTCTTCGTGCTAGCGCCGACACTATATTGCCTCCATCCATATTTTCAGTTGCAGACTGAGTCATTCTTGTGTTCCCCTCTCTGTCATGTGGATGGAGGACCTCAGTGATGAGAGGAGAATGTGTAGCGCTGAGCTWATACATATACTGTATATAGTGATAGCGTCGGGGCTAACGCTAAAGCTAACATTATATTTAAACTTTTAGRTTAAAAATGATAAACACTGAACATCCTACAGTATTTTTACKYTCTTTATTTTACAGTTAAAACATYTGTTTATTAAATAAAGTCTAATGWTACAACTAAGCATGGATCCCTTTAACCCTGAGGCAGAATAACCAAGGGAWGTCCAATACCAACTGAAGCAGGTCTTCATAGATTAATAGATTGGTTTACTGTATAGCAACACTTGACATTTGTAGATCATCTTATAGCAGTGGTTTAAATTTAAAWGGCTGGGTCATGTATTTCCTCTTCAGAAGATTGTGCGAATGAATTGGAGGTAATGAACTCACTTGAAGCAGCAGAACCATGTGGGTTTTGGCCAGCTCCTTACTGTGCAGCGTGCTCGTTCCCAAACACACCACAGCCATGTTGCGGACAGCAGGGTGAGCATTTGCTATGCAGGGCAGAATCTAACAGAGGAGGTGGAAGAAACTAAATGACAAACTACTAGGATCCCATAAAAACAAGATTTCACTTCATGAACCTGTTTTCCAAACATCTATTGTATCCAGATGAATGGCCTTGTTTTCTCTATGTTTTGAAGACAAATTTGTATTTAAGTAAAACTGATACATTTTTGACTTTCAGTTCTTTTTGCCTTTTTGAGTGAATATTTTACAATAAAGTTGTAAGAAATAAATAAAATGCGCTTAAAACGTCACATTATAACAAAATCTTTTTGTCTGATGCATCTAAAGTCTGAAGTTAGTATTTATGTGTACATTCTTAGTAACGTTAGCATGAATGAAATGGCAGTGCAGGCTTTTACCAGTGAGGACATTAAGGCACTAATGGTTGGACCAATTCGAGTCTTGACGTTTATCTGCTTCAACAGTTCAGCACACATTGTTAAGCACCTCAGAAGAGTCTCTGGGTCATTCTGGTAAAAAAATAAATAAATACACATAATGATGAAAGATACGTTTGAGTAAATTTTATTAAAAGACACAGGTGATGGTTTCTGTGTCCTTGCCTACCTTCTCGATTCGGACCCCCTTGTCAGTCGGCTGGTTGCTCTCTGAGATTTCCTGGAGGATTTGGTTCCTGCGGTCCTCCAGGCTCGCAATGGAGTCTTTGAGTTCGGCCGCTCGGCTAAAGTCTTGAGCAGCAACACAGTCCTCCAGAGCTTGTTTAGCCTCCAGGACACGTACCTTCACCTCTGCAAGCTAGAGGGAAGGAATTGGGAGGGAAACTTGAGGCAGCAAGAAAAAATATTTATTTCTTGATTGGGGTTCACTCCACTACTAAATTAGGAAACTGTGCCTCCATTAACAGGAATGATAATAGCTGAGGCAGAAATGAATTCACCATGCCTCACTGAAAATGTAAGGAACAGGGCACCAGGTGCACAGGACAAATATAAGCCAACACCTGGTTGAAGTCTGACTCATTTAGCATTTAGTTGGCCTCCAACAGTCTCACAACTGTGAAAGTTGGATATAAATCAGAGCTTTGAAAAGGTGAAGAAAACAAAGGGAGAAGTAAAACTCTTCAGTTCTTTCGTGTGTTGCCCACCTGGACCTGCTGTCGGCGGCTCTCGTTCTCATCCACTGGCTGACTGATGATGGGCTCTCTCACATCTGAAATGATCTCGGCCACCTGTTTAATAAAACCATCCTGACTGAATCTCAAACAGCAGCTGAAATGAGACGCTTGTATATTTTCAGACGTGTCAAACAATAAGATGCATACATCACTTCATGAATTCTACTGTGATTAAAAGAAAAAAAAAGAAAAAAGTCTGAAAATATTTCAAAATGGATCTTACAGTTTGGATGCGTCTTTGGTCATCAGGGATGATGGCGAGGAGTTTCTCAGTGAGCAGGGAGATCAAGGAGGATGGGGTATGAGGGAGAGCCAGCATCTCCTGCAGGACAGCCAGCACACGCTTCCTACAAACACAAGACATTCAGTTCAAACACAACTCAAAAATGAGCTGATTATATTTGGTCAAATCTGATTCTCAGAGGAAACCAAACTGTTCTCTCCTCACCTGCCTCCCTCCTCGTTGGTATCAAGACAACCYATGAGATGGATGAGCTGCTGTGCGATGAACTCTTTGGTCATGACCAGCTCCAGCTGGGTAAAATCAGCCCTCTGCTCCTCAGACATCACAGGCACCGCCTTTAGATAGCTACAACAGCCAAAACCAGGAGGTCAAACAGGTGCACAACTTACAGAGCTGCAGCTAAGAATGCTCAACACGGTCGTTATATTCAGCACTGAAGGCAGTACGGCATCATAAATTACTTCCTAAACACAAGTCAGAAATACCAACCTTTTTCCAAAGTTCAAAGATTAAATGCTTTTATGACAAAAAAAGTAAAGTCAAAGTGCCATATTTATTCATGTACAATAAGATCATCATTTTTTATAGATTAAGAAGCATAAAAAAATCTAATAATCATAACCCATGAATAATACCACCCCCTCACTTCATGGATAATTTTTAGGGTTAAATTTCAAGTGTTATACATGAATAAATACAGTAATTACATAGAAATCCACACAATACCAAAGAAAAGTTCCTCTAAAAAATACGAGCTGCCTTCAGACATGGAGACAACACATTATGACAAATTAGATTTTCACTATATTACAAAATAACTAAAAACAACATCAACTACCTACAACACATTTCAGTCTTAGGCTTATTTTCTCTCCTATTTGATTTCTTTATCAGCATGATAATCAGTATTTTTCCCCTAAAGATTTTTTTATAAGCATATCAGTAGTTTATGTAGGCAAACCTAAATGGAAAAGGTTGTATAGAATATCAGAATATAAAATGTTTTTATAGACCTGAAGGGAATTTTGTAACTGATTGAATGTTAGGTGCAGTTTTGTATTTTATAATTTCTGATCATTGCAAGTAAGGTTAAAGCAGACAGAGGTGGTGTGTGTCTTATCATGTGTTCTTTCTTTTAGCCTAAACAAAAATGAGTTGCGTTCTACGTCTGATGTAAAAGGCAACACCTCCAGGGGTGTAACCAGGAAGAGAAATATATTATGTCAATTCATTTTATAGTAGAAATAAGTTGTTAGTTTTGGAGTCTCTGCTTAGATTTTTGGGTTTTCAGTCCAAGGCCTTACGCTGAGGCCTGTTGAGAACCTGATTGGAGTCAGAAGATTGAGAATAAAGTTTTTAAGAGGAAATCCAGTGGATTCCCGTTTTATTCAGACATACCATTTTGAACGATGCACTTTTTTTCTACAGAACTAATTGATCAGTTGCTTTGCCCCAAGTTTACTCTGCAATTGTAGTAAAATCATTTGTCTTTTCTTACCCACATAGGTAGTCAGCGTAAGTCGAAGCATCTGGTAACACTTGTTCGAGCATTTCATCCCCATCATCTCCTTTACCCTTGATGAATTCACACAAAGCTCTCCAGTAAAGCACATTTTCACAAGTCAGATGGTCTACTGGGATCAGTTTCCTATAAGGAAACACAGAGTTATTATCTAAGAATCAGACGTTTAATCAGTGACGTGACAGAGTGAAGTGTGACAGTAGACCTGTTGTCGAGCTGCTCCCTGTTCTGCAGCAGCTCTTCAGCAGTCATGCTTTTAAAGATGGCTTTCAGGGTTTCTATCGCAGTTTCTGCACAATCCTCCACATCCAGCCGATGAAGCAGCTCGATGACATCACCATCCAGCCGCTGCAGCCAGGCCGGCAGKAGACAGCTACAAACCACCTCTCTGACTGCATCTACAAAACAACCAGCCAGTCAAGCAACTTCACAAATAAATCTTGGGGGAAATAAAAAAAAACCTGCATTGCAAATTTAACATCAACTCCCACAATAAATAGTTTTATTTCAGAGTAACAACTTCTACAAATGTTACCTGAGGTGTCATGGAGGCCCTGCTGCAACAGACCAACTCTCTGTGCAATGGTCAGAGCTTTAATATGAACTTTGTCAGCAAGAACCTTTTACAAAAAAATATACATGTGAAATAAACAAACAAAAAACTGCATTTAAATAAATATTTTACTTATTTTATGGCTACCTGGTAGGCCAGCTTGCGGACATTCTCTTTAATATCCCGAGTGCGTTTGATCACTTTAGGAAGGGTTAGGGGTGACATTGCAATGCAGGACAGAACAGCACGTCGCACCTCGGCGTTGGTGTCATTTTCCAGAATTAACATATACGCTGAAAAGAGAGGAGAGGTTGAATGTGATAGAGTTGACAAGAAGATAAAAAGCCCCACAAAATACGTATGAAATATAAACACTGATCATTTAAGAGCAAGTTGAGAGTGCAAGCCCTTCAAGCAACCAAAACAAACCACTGATAGTTGGACATTCTGGATCCTTAGGCTGCTGAAGGCGGGCCATGGCTAGAGCCGCCTGAATCCTCACGTTGGGGAACTTGTCTGTGACTCGAACCAGCATGGCTTGATGGATCCGATCAAAGAGATCGTCATCAATCTGGGCGTTCTCTGCCATGCTGCCCAGCAGCTTGTTTATCAGCTGGCACACTCGGAAACGCACTGCATGACTGTTAGCTTTATGAGACTGAAAGAAAAAAAAAAAGACATCAAAGAAGCTGAGAGAGAAAAAAAGGGTCAGGTGAGAAATACAGGAATGATGGTGGACATGAGTAATAAGGTGTGAGAAATAAACAAACAAGCAAAACCAAAAGAAAGGAAGTACCGGAGTGAAGAAATAAACTGATCATAAAAGAAACAGAAAATGACTGGTAAGTCAAAAATCATTATTTCTAAACAGGTGAATTTTTATAAAGAATTTAAAGAAYTGCCTTACATTCATGCATATAGTGTTATACCTCTAACAGAAAGTTGAAGATGAAACTTAGAAATGGATGATCGTCCTCCTCCTCTTCTTCGTCTTCGTCGTCCTCCTCTTCTGTTTTAGGTGGAGTCTGGAAACTTGCTGTGAACCTTGCAACAAACTCGATCACATTTTCAACAGCAGGCTCGCGTTTGTAGACGATCATGGCATACTTCAGGTAGTGGAGAAACTCATCATGGAACAGAGTCTTGTCCTCGAGCTGAAGGAGACAGAATGTGTGATTATTGGTAGGAAGTGGACGATAATAATCATTGGGGGCAAGTGTGATTAAACTTACAAATTAAGACAAAATGCTCTAACAAGGTTCAGGCATGTCAAGCTTTATTTTCCTATCCTGGATGACTGAAATCTAAAGGCTTCTAAAAGAAACAAAACTTAAAATTTCCCTAAGTTATAGTAAAGCCGAGCAGTTTGTTGTGGCAGCATATTTTTCACAACAGGGAAGCAGCTTTCTAACTTCAGCATAAAAAAGTAAACGTAGAGTCAATTTTCATTCAGTAACAACTAAATATTTATAATACACTAATTTTGGATGCTGCAATAGAGTTTTAGAAGTTTGTCAATCTCATCTAACCCTTAAATCTTACAAATGAAAAGCAAATCATGCATTGCAATTCAACTACATAGAAAAACCAAATGTAAACACTGCAAGTATTTCCACATTATCACCATGCTGTACCTTGTCGTAGCGGCTCTTCAGACTCGCTACCAGCTTTGCCTTGTTATTGTGGCCCTTCTGAGAGCGTTGAAAGGTCTCTTTAATGTCCATTTCATTGTCCGCAGTCATGTTGGTAGCTTTAAAAATGTGCACAAAATATTTTAAATGACGTTTTTCCAAGAAGAAGCTGCTAACTACGTGTCTCCAGTGTTAGCACACCCATCATCGACCAAACTCCCACCGGAGCTAAGACAGCTAACAAACTGTAAAACGCACTTCATTATTATAAACACTCTGATATCATTTTATAATAGTAACAGATGAGACTTCGTACTATTTTAAAGAAACCAAGTTAATGTTAAAGTTACCTCTTTGTTGTGGTGAGCTGTTAGCGCCTGTTTTCAAATTTGACCGTAGAGGAAGGGACGTGTTCTTCTTCTACGGATTTATTAGCGGCTGTCGCGACGCCACCTGCTGGACTGGAGGGTAGGAACTATGGCTCCACAATGAACAGCGTTGAATAAAAGTAAATAATTTGTTCCTATCTTTTTTGCACTTTTAGTTAAATAAYTAACATTTTTACTGTGTAATCTTTCTGGATGAATGCTTTTTTATTTTATATTACATATAGATATATGTAATGCAATATATATAGTATATATAATATAGAATATTTTATTTTCTGGTTCCAATTCCACCAGCAAGGCAGACACTGCCAAATTTTCAAATATCTCATTAACTACTTTCAAGGTTTGAGTCTGGATTACATCCAAGCTAAAAGAACATTTGCTTTTTGTGTTTATAGCTATAATGTGTAAACTACTGTATGCTCAAACGTATGCCTACACATTTTCCATCCAGTCACACTTTGTAGAATCAGCTTTGTTGCACAACAAACTTGCTCTTTTGTGGGATATGATGGTTGTATGAAATATTATAAGAATAACTAAAGCCTTGAAATTCATAGGCACTGGGGGCATTTTTATTTGCTGTCATGGGCAGAATGGTGATACACAAGTGATAAATAATTTACAAACAGTTACCAAACACACACAATGAATAAAATAAAAATAAAATAAAAAACATGAGACAATGGCCAAAGTAAAAACTTTGGAGAAAACAACAACAACAACAAATGTTATTGTATGTTATTCTAAGRACAATGGCACAAGTTTTCTGTTAATGTTATTGGTTCAGTGTGTCGTTCTTCTAGTTTGAGTCTCGATTGAATACCATTTAAATGCAATTTATTTAAAGAAAATAGCTGCTTTTATTTGATATTATATTCTATTGATTTTATCTTACAACCATTATTGTTCCCACGATGTCTTTGTTTTTTAGAAWTTGTTCATGTTTCTTTCTTTGTCTCTTCAGATCGTCTTGTTGTTAAAGGTGCAGTATGTAACTTTTCTAAAAATATATTTTTAACATATTTGTTCACTCTGTCACTATCTCCTGACKGATTGATATTAGACAGGTAAGCTATGGAGGAAAAAAGAGTCCTCTTGCTTTTCCCGGTGGTACTACAGGCTTTAGAAAAATCCAGGCT